AGGCGTCGACGGGAAGCTTCCCTCAGGGGAAGGTACCCACTTTAGACGCAGCAGCTCTCCAGAAGCTTATTCGCGACAATGAGCTAAAGGCAGAGCGGGAGCGGCAAGCCACAGCCTCCGAAGGGGACACCAAGTATGCGTACCAGTCTGGGGACACCGTCCACGGCAAGGTTGATGCACACAAGTCCCAGCAGCAGGAGGAGCTTAACGAGGTTCTCCGCAAGGCAAGGACCAATCCATGGCACCTCTTCGCCCACGGCAAGTTGCACATGGTGGACGCTTCTGGCCAGCCGATGCTTAGCGCCTACGGCGATGCCCTTGTTCAGGTCACCCCCTGGCACACTTTGACTACTTCGATGAGGGAGTCTTTGGGTGGTGAATACAACTGGGCATCCTGGCTTCAGCATCCTGTGTCGGGGTATTCTCTTCACTTCTTCTTGAAAGCCTTTGAGATGGGGAAGTTGCAAGGGAATTACCTCGTCGAGTTGGACAAGAAACCGAAGGTTTACTCCAACGGTTATTCTTCCCCATGGATGAACATGACGCGTCACCCTGGAGGCCTTGCCACTATGCTGGAGGACGTCACCATTGCCGCGCAAAACGAGTTCCGACCAAGCGTTGGAAACATCGGCTTTGATCGCCCTCGTGACTCTGATCCGCGTGCAAAGATGCCAAAGACGGAGGATCCTGAGTACTCTCGCAAGCTCGAAGCACACAATGCTTTCCTCAGGGAAAGGTATGTGTACGAAGAGATCACTAAGGTGCGAGAGGACTTCCAGATGCTCGTCCGCGTCATCAACGAGGCCTACGGAGTGGATTTCTTCTCCTACATTCAGAGACACGCCCATGATGCTGAGGTTCGCCGGAAGTACATGGTGCGCACGCCTGAAGGATATGGTCTTTACGACAGTACCCTCAAGCAGCCGTTCAACGGCCGCTACCTTCTGGCTGTCCTGGAGAAAGTCTTCGCTGAGTCTGACAACCGAGATTTCAAATCGGATTTCGCCAAAAAGGCGAAAGCTGACTTGGTTGCTTACGAGGACTTGAAGGAGAAGAAGGAGTCTGAGCTGAATGAGCTCCTCTCTCGACCATATGAAGACATCATGATCGAGGAGTTCATCGAGCGGCTCCCTTGTCCACAGATCGAGGAGATCGAGGAGCCTCCCGCGGCTACTCAGATGGACACCTCCGAGCCGGCGTCTGGATCCACGGACTTGCCACAGGGCAAGAAGGTTGATCCGGTTAAGACCGAGCCGACCGACGTGCCAATGGAGACTGATGCTCCAGAAAGCTCTCCTCAGGGAGAGGCATCTGGTGCCACTGTCGAGCCAATGGAGACGGACGCTCCGGAAAGCTCTCCACAGGGAGAGGCATCTGGGGTGGATGTCCCACAGCAGAAGACCGAAGCTCCGGAAGGCTCTCCACAGGGAGAGGTATCCGAGACTAAGGTCGAAGCTGATGAGCACATGGGTCAGGAAGGAGGTGAGGCCGAGAACAGTGAGATGGCTGAGGAACGATCACCTGGTGATGAATCCATGCCAGATATTTCTCCCGAGAAAGATGATGAAAGTGAACTTCACGATCAAGGCATCTGGGGGAAATGCAAGACTGTTCCGGACCCTGAGTACTACAAGGCCGCGAAGGATGCAGAGGAACAGAACGAGAACGCGTTCGAGAAGATGGGCAAGGCCAAGGAAAAGATTGAGCTCAAGGACACCGAAGAGTTCAAGCGTTTCCTCTCGGAGCTCACTGAGATCGAACGCCAAAGCCCTATGCGGCTGCTCTCCAAGCAGTTGCGTGGATATGGCTATTCCGGCTTGTATCATACAGGACTGCGTGATCCTGATTACGAGCCCGTTCTCGCTTTCAAGGTGCAGCATATGAGTTGGAGGGTTAATGTTCCGCCACACAAGGGACAGAAATACTCTCTCTCTATGAGAGACCTCTTCGACCAGCTCAACAAGATGTCTCCCATCTATGAGCGTCGTCCTGAAAAGCATGACGTTGTCTTTCGTTCAGGAGACGTTCGCAGCACCTTGGATGACAAGCTCATGGGTAAAGCCTCTGACATCCGGGAGTCAGCTCTGGAGGTTATGGAAGCACTTCTGGATTAGTTGAAGTCCCTAGATGCAAGCGGCAATCCGGCAACTCGAGAAGAACTCTTGAATGCTATGCTTCATTACTTCTTGAGCACCGGAGTCGATGAAGAGGAAATCGGGGACCTCTCTCTTGAGAAGATGCCGAATCCTTACATTCATCGTTTTGGTCTGGCTGAGGACGCTGCGGTCCCCATCTTCACCAGCAAGACTAAGTACGACGCGCTCATCGTCAATCTCGGCAACATGAGCAGAGGAAGGAAGCGTTCGGCACCTACCTCCGTTGCCAACTATATTGACTGGGACGATGCTACGCCATCTCGTGGAGCCCTGATAAAATCGATTGCACAGTCGAAGACGCATTTGTTTATGCCTGCGAAGCGGCTAAGATCGATGACTCCGAGGAAGCTTTCCTCAAGTCGCGTGGGTGGCAATTCCTCCGCAACGAGTCCAAGGATCTGATGGTGGGGAGTCGCACCAATGGTGTTGGATCTTCGATCACCCGTTTGGCTGGCTCCACTCTCAGTGGATTCGCCCACGAATCTCTTCCTTTGACCTATATGGTCGTCGAGATCGTGTATGGAATGACGCTACCCGTCGGCATTCAGGGCAACCGAGGTGACTTCCCAGATGAGGCGTTGACCAAGGTCTTGGAACGCGCCGGTTCCGACCGCATAAGGGTCTGTTGCTTCCACCTCCGTAATGACGCGGCAGCTGACAAAGTGGCGTTAGCTCATGAAGTGTTGGGTAACATGTTCATTGACTGCTTGCACTACCAGGTCGGCCTCATTGGTGGCGACGCCAACATGGCTTTATACAGGGCCACTGGCAGAAAGCAAGAGTTAATCGACATTCGTGGCGGGATGTACCAAAGCCTTCTCGATTACTTCTTGGAGGCCTGGTCAGAAAGCCCCAAGTGCCCACACCTCTGCACGCCTCGTGCGAGACACGTGTCAGCAAACGCTATGTGGCTTCTGAAGCAGTACGAGGACACGCTGGGGATGCCTTACAAGGACATCAAGCATCCAGACTGGAATACTTTTCCTGGTTTGGATCCTGTTCTGGCGACAGTCATGGAATGGGGACACAGCATGTCGGACGATCAATGGGCTGAGTTTCCAGCTTCAAAGAAAGAGTTCGACATCCATGTCTCCGAGTGGCTGTTGAATTCCACGTGCGCCGCGTACCTTCTCAACGATCGGGACTATGACGCTCACACGCCGCTCCTTGTCGAGGTTCACGCGAACCAGTACTTTGGAGGCAGGATGAGGGCGGTCAACCGCAATCCCGACACCGTGAAGGAAGCCGCGGACAGGAGAAAGGAGAGACAGAAGTTGAACAAGGCGCGTGGTTCTGGTTCTACTGGTCCTACAGCAGCCGCACCTCCAGGGGCAAACTCTTCTCAGGAAGAGGCGCTCCCGGTGCTCCATCTTCTGGCTCTCAACGTCCTCCAGAACCCGCACAACCTCCTGGTGGCAAAGAAGGCGGCAAAGGAGGCAAGTCCTCCAAAGGAAAAGGCAAGGACGCTGACAAGGGCAAGTCCAAGGGCAAGTCCAAGGACAAGTCCAAAGGCAAAGCCAAGGGCAAAAACTGACTAGGTTCGGACCTGGGCGAGGATGGAGACGTTGACGTTCCTGACGAAGACGTTGGTCCTGGCCCAGCATCCTGGAGTCGTACTGGCAGTGGTGAGTTATTTCCATTTCGTTTCCAACTCCATTACTGGCGCTTGGAGAGATGGTACTACCCTCACCTCCGCATTCCTCATCCTGACGACAGTCCTTTTGTTGGTCGTCAATTGAGGCAGTACAACCAAAGGATCAATCAACAAGGTCCAATGGAAGAAGTTGAGTGAGTGTTTCACGGAATGCTGCTTTCAGAAGAAGGTATCCATTTTGAGCATTCGCCGCTTCTAAGGAAGATGCTTTTCTCAGGAAAAGGGACTTCCTAAAGACCTTGTCAGGAAAGAAGATACTTATCTCAGGATAAGATACTTCCAATGCCCTTATACCATTTGCCTTGCCGCAAGATGTCATGCTGGCATCAAGTAGAGCCAAGCTTTACACCTTTATGTTACAGTAGGCTTTCCGCCTGGAGAGGGAACTGAAACACAAGTGGGCGACTTTCAAGCAAAAGTTTTCAGTTGAAGATCCGTTTGCGTTTCGTGCGTGTTCTGCTCTTTTCATTGAAGCTGTCTTCAGGCTAGAGATGTATAGATTCTCTTCAAGTCGCAGATGTAGCTCAATACTCCGCTAATTCGACCAAGAGCAATAACAGGCTTGTAGATTGCCGACTCCACGGCCATGCAGCTCTACGTGTTTTAAATTTGTGCCTGGTTGAAACACTGAATGTTACACATCCAGGTGCCTGTCTGTTTCACGTATCACTTGCATGTATCCATGCCTGTTGCTCAAGGTTCTAGTGCAGTGGACTACAGCTGTGCGCCTGTAGCAAAAGAGACACCTGAGTGCCTGTGTTCCTGTACGCCTAGCGAGGGGATACACGTCCAGGTTACATCTCAAGGGGGGGGGAAGGGGGGGCGAAGGACGAAAATGGCGGACAACACGGGTGGCAGGCCAGAGGCCGGGGCGGCCAAAAACGGGTGTCACTGAACTTTTGGGCTGCAGGGAGGAGGATTAGGTGGAGGGTACCTAATATTAACCATTAAAATGCCAGCGGCGTTTAGACGAAAATGAAACAACTCATTTGGGGATGTTGCGTCGACATCACGAACCCCGACACGGGGGGGAATTGGGGACTGGGTCGGCACCACAATTGAGGCCGAGAACAAGAAAGATGCATGGCGACTGAATATCCATTGCACGAACATGCGTCGGCAGGTTTTTAACATGTCTTCCACGCACATGTCGATTAGCATCGGTCACAATATTGTACAATCTTCTAAGCATGCTCCTTTTGCAACTGCCTGTTTGCATGAGCCGTCCTTGCCTGGTCAGTCGTGCAGCGAAAGAAATTGGCTCAAGCCTCCAGCTGAGCATGAACCTTTTTAGCAGTTTGTTGGGAATTCTGCTGCCTCTTCAAGTGGAAGTTCTGGAGGTTGGAAATCCTCTCGTGTCGTGGGCCTCAGCTGGAAGCAACAGCGATGCCGAGGATGACTCCGTGGGCCTTGTCGTGCTCGATCTCGGCATTTGCTTCCAGTTCCCGGGTTCAGTTCATGCCGTTAGAGCACTGTTCGCGGACCGCCATGAGGACGCGGCTGTACTTGAGGAATTGTGGCCAGTGTTTCTTCTGTTGGAGCATGCGGAGGCAGCAGGGGCAACAATTTGGAAAGTCACTGCCACTTCAGAGGCAAGTCGTGGTTCACCTCACGGGCGGCCGATGCGACTGAAACTATCTACGCCTTTGTTGGCGAGACCAGGGCAGTGTTTAGGCTGGTATATGCCAGGGTCAATAGGAGCGAACCGTATAGGCTTTGCCGACACGGCGTCCTTTGGCCAGCGCCGGACGCACCCAGATGGCAAGGACAAGATGCACGTCTCTGCCTTCGCGAAAGCCCCGTACCCACCAAATCCACTGCGTGAAGGTTCACGTTTGAGTTTCCGCAATTTCCTGCACAGGCGCTATGCCTTGATAGCTGAACAAGAACCGACGCAGAATAGTTATTACCATTATGTCTTCAGCCATTTACATCGCAGAGCTAGGCAGTCGGATTCGCATGTTCCAGCTGCACAGGATTGCTGGGGGTCGGGAAGCGGCCATAATACGTGCTGTGTGCCTGCGGGCACTGGCGATCCGTTTTGCTTCGATGCTGTTTATACTTACGAGCTTTGCTGTACGCCCTCAGCTGCTGGAGCGAGTGGCTGGACCCCTACCGAACATTCTCTGCCGCCAAGCAAGCTGACACAGCTACAGCCGAATTTGCTTGATGAGCCACGTGCTCAACCATCTCCCAGGCCTGCTCTCTCTGTGGATTTGTTCGTGCGCACTTACCATGCGAAGATGCAGGAACTGATGCATTTGTTGCATTCTGTTTCTCTTTTCTGGCCAGCTGACTGGGGAGTAGTTGTTGTTTTGGATGGTGACAGCCTCGAGGATGAGCACGCTTGCACTTTGCTCCCGAGATGGGTCCGATGCATTCTGCAGCCACGTCCTTCATTCTTGGTCGACTTGCAGACTTCCTTCAGGGCTGTAGATCCGCACGGCCATTTCGGAGGAGCGCAGCGACAGCATGGACTCGTTTGGAAGGAGTGGACAGAGTGTTGGGCTGATAACTATTCCCGAGCCGAGTTCATCGCAATTTGTGATAGCGACGTCGTTCTTACAACTTTTGGCCTGCCACAGCTCATGTTCCAGCCAGCCAGGCCCGGAAGCAACCACGCCCGACCTGTCCTTTGGGGGTTTGCCAACCTTGCAGGGTTTCCCTCCACTGTAGCTGCGCTCGGGCTACGTTGGCAGGCCGAGTTCATGGACAGTTTTCCGTTGGTCATAAGGAGAGACCATTTCCAGGCCCTGCGACGTCACATTGACAGGCTTTACGGAAAAGAGCCAGGGAGGAATTCATCCAGGGGCTTTAACATCGCTTTCGCACGGTTCTTGACCAATATGCAAGTACTCTCTGGAGGTGCCGAGTGCCCGTGCTTCCATTCAATGATGGGTTCTCTGCTGTGGGCTCACCACAGGGCCCAATATGTGTGGTCTATCCGGCATGGACACTTATCAGGTGTGCCGCTTGAGCACACCTGCCCTCGCTTGCGCGTGGCCCAGCACGTACCATATTGGGGCAGGGAACACTGGATGGACTACGAACGGCTGCCCGATACGCGTCTAAAGGTTGGAGGGGATCCGGCGGTCTTGTCCGAAGTTGCTTATGCTGGTCGGGCCAGCGCACTCATTCTTTCAGGCCTCTGCGCCGTACAGTGGATGGAGGTGAAAACTTCCAGGTTCCGAAGTTTTGCGAGTTTTCCGAGGCGGAACTTTACGCATTTCTGGCGGGGCAGCCGCACCTCCTTGAAGGCCCCGGATGCAGGGTTGAGAGAGACGCAGAGAGACCTGTGCTCACATGGCCTTCGTCTGGTAGAAGGGCGAGCTGAGATCGAAGAAAGGCTGCTGACGAGTAACTTTCCTGCTAGACGTTGGACTTCCATGGAAGCCTTGCACTGCGGTAGTTTGCAACCAGAGAAGCTTCGATCAGCATACCGCGGCCTGATGCGGACAATTGTGTTCGCACTCCAAAGTCGAGCTGGGAAAAATGCACCTGCATCCTGAGATGTCACACTGCTAAGGGGCCTTTTCAGAAAATAAAAGAATATGGTTACAGATGATTTCTGTGATATTTTCCGATCAGAGAGATTTTTTCTGAATTAGAATGTCGATAAAAACTGCACAGCGGGAACGCTGTATAAGAAAATACCTTCTGAACGAGGGTGGTTCGGTTTTTATTTGGCGGCTGGTTTTACGGGAAAATGAAATATTTTGATTCTTTGATTTTGGGTTTTTCCTTATTTATCTGATTTAACGGGATAAATATATATTGATAAATATTTGATTTTAATTTATTTTAGATTATTATATATTTATATAATAATATGATATTATATATCAATATAAATTGATACATTTATTTAATAAATTAAATTTAAAAAACTATTTAAATTTATGATTATATAATATGTATCACATTATTCGTTTTATATATTTGTATAAAGAGATGATTTTGCTGATGGATTGAAAAAAAAATTAAACTTCTAGTATTTTTATTTCTCTTTTTCTTATTATATTTATTTTTTTAAAATGAAATAAAAATAAGGCCTTCTTTTCTTATTCTTTTCTTGTTTTGTTTGTCTGAAGGTCTCATAGAAGCCTGGGCTCATTTTTGTTTGTTAGAAAAAAAAAAAAAACAAAAAAAAAAAAAAAAAAAAAATAACAAAAAAAAACAAAAAAAAAAAAAAAAAAAAAAAAAAAAAAAAAAAAAAAAAGAAAAAAAAAAAAATATTGAAAAAACCAAAAAAAAAAACTAAAAAAAAAAAAAAAAAAAAAAAAAAAAAAAAAAAAAAAAAAAAAAAAAAAAATTCAAACAATTGCTTTTCGATTATTTATAAAAAAATACAAATTTCTAATAAATTTTTTTTAAAAAATATATGAAATTTCTTAGTCTAGCCCTTCGAGATTATGGTGGGAATTGAAATTATACAGGATTGCAGTCGCCGCTTTTGAGGCTCGTAATTTTACTCAGGATCTTAGACTTTTGTTTTCTTTTTTATTGTGTTTCTTGAGAATTTTTTTTTTGTATTTTTTTTTTTTTGTGATTTTTGAGGTCCTCGTTTACTTCATTTGGATCTAGTTTTTTGAGAATACGGAGTTGGTTTGCACGAATGTCCATGGTCTTGTATTTTGAATTTGCCAGGTGCTGAGTTAACCTTGGATTGGGTTTATTGGTTTAATATAGAAAAGAGTTGGTCTTGTCTTGCTTAAGATTTAGCGAGTGGGTGATTCTTGGACACTACTACCGTTGGATATGGACCAGTCCTTGATAAAAGAAGTGCGTGCAATTAAAAAAAAAATTAAAAAAAAAAAAACAAAAATCATAATAAATTAACACCATCAAAAAATGCAGAGGGGGCAGACAAAATAACGAGACACCACCCCCCAGGCACAGGTTGGAACGACTGAGAAACGGCAAAAACGTAGCCTCGACAACATCGGTCTCGGACCTGTGCTAAGGCTGAGTTTATACAATTTATAATGTACAATGGTCCAATAGCTACGAGATGAGGTCTTTGGATCAGGTCAGGGAGATCGATCCTTATTACTACTTATTATTTATTACTTGAAACTGCCTGTGAAATATTGCAGGCGCATGCCGTACCGATGTCAGTCGGGGAGGATATCGCCGTTCGTGATGATCGAATTTTGTTCCAAGCTTGTCCGCATGCAAGTTGTGTTGCGGATTGTTCTGAAGAGGAGACCGTTGTGTTCGGCCGCTTGCACACGTGCTTGTCCGTGCTGATCAAGAGATTCGACCCAGCAAAGAAAAACATCAGTGCCTTGCCCCTGACTCTTCTTTTTGAATGCAAGGAGCAGAAAGATAGTGCTATCTCTATGCTTGCATTTCGCGCGTGCATGCAAAATGTCGATGCAATATTTCTGGAACTCGACTCGGACAAAGAAACTCGCAGTGGATTCGAGCCCTCCGTTCACTCTCAAGTTCAAGAAAGAGAGACTCACTGGTAGCATCATTTGGAACAATGACCTATCCGTTTGCAAATCTTTGGCAACCAGAAGTCGGACATGGGATATTTCTCGTTTGACTTTGGGGGATTTGCAACACGACCTGTCTTCTTTTCTGATTTGTGACAAGCTACCTTATGATTTGCAAGATCTGCTGTCTGAAGCAGCACAGCTCAAGGAACAAGAGCGTGCACTCAGGGCTGTGCGATTGCTGCAGAGAGCACAGAGGAGGCCACGGCCGCGGTCTCAGAACATGCGTGGCCGGGGCGGAGGTAGACGTCGTGGCAGAGGCAGAGTCGCCCGTCCTCGTCTTGTTGCGGGTGATGACGGAGATGACGAACTGGAAGAAGAGGGGCTCATGATGATAATGATAATGATGATGCTGCTAAGTCTGAAAATGCAGAGTGGGAGGGGAATTTCAGCGGAGATGACGAGGATGATGCTTGGGGTCTTGAACAAGCGGTGCATCCAGGCCCAGATATGGAAAGGCCTTCGAGTTCAGCAGGTCTTGTATCTTCATCCGCTGTCTCAGCTGGAAGAAGTGCGGGAGGCGATATCGATGCTGCCGCTGACGTTCCCCCTCCGCCTGCTCCCGTCGCTGAGGACCCGGGCCAGCGGGCTGTTCGCCGAAACCAGCGAAGAGGTATACCCTGGGGTCCCTTTATGTTGTCACCTATTGTGCCGCATCATGGTAGACAAACTGGCTGGGGTGCAATTTGCAACCTGCGTTGGGATAGAGGTGAGGGGGCTAGCAGCACCCAGTGCAAAAACGCAGTATCCTATGGGACCATGGATGATGCTACTTGCATTCTGATACTGAAACGTTGGCTGTGCGCCGGCTTGCACGATGATGAGTTTCCCCAAACCAATCCGCGAACCCATCACGTGAAGATGGGGGGTCCGGGTTTGGTGAGTTTCGCGGAGGGCAAGAACGAGGAGGAAATGGATATCGAGGTCGCAGCCTACCTCAGTTAATGGGTAGTCGGACTCCGTCCTGGGCTGGATTTCTCTCGTGGTACTGCATGGTCTCTCAGCACTCCTGCGCGAGAGCTCGCAACTTAGCTACCAAAAGCGACGAGTACGTCCAGCTGGGACTGAGTGTTTACTATTTCTGCGTCTACTAAAGTCTTAAGTCGTATTCGTTAGTTGTCAGTTTACGTCGTAGTCACGATAACGTTTGACATCAGTGCCTGTTAAGCCTAGGAAGGGAGGGTCAGCCCAAACCTTCCGTGGCATGCTGGCATATGTGCAGAATCACTCTCCGAGCATCGTCGTGTTCGAGAATGTAGATACCATGGACGACAGGGGCGATGCTACTTCCAATCTCGGTATTCTGCTCGCAGAAATGTCGAACCGTGGATACGAGAACCAAGTCATCATGAGCGATGCTGCAATGTTCGAGCTGCGGGCTAGAAGGCGGCGTGCGTACGTGCTTTTCCTGATGCTTGGCTTTAACTGGAGAAGATTTCGTCGTTGTAGCAGCAGTTGTGCCCGTGGCAGCGGCAGTGCCACTACCGTAGTCGTAGCGGCATTACATCATAGTCCCAGCAGTTGCAATGGTAGCGGGTTGCTCTCGTTTGAGAGGTAGTGGTAGAGGTAGTAGTGGTAGGTAGTCGTGGTGACGACTTGGTAGTAATAAGTAGTAGTAGTAGTAGTAGTAGTAGAGTACTGATTCATTGTATTTCGGCTTGCTTATAATAAATATCAAAGCACTTCAAGGCGGATGGAGAGACCTCCGAAAGATTAGCTTCTAACTCCGGTTTCGATCTTAGACCATATTTTCGAGCGTAGGCTGTTGAGGACTTATAGGATTTGAAATTAGAGAATTGGAATTTTTGAGAATCACGAAATTAATCCTAAGTCCTAAATCCCTACGTCCTAAAATCCGAAAGTCCTAAATCTCAGATTTGGATATTATAGCTTGCGAGCTTATTTGAGATCGAAATATTTTGATTGGCAGAGGAATCTGCCGATTTTCAAATGCGAATCTTGAAAAAATAATATAGTCAAAAATCAAGGAAGAGATATCTATATAAATCTCTTTATAAGCAAACTCATTAGCAAATAGATATCTTTGAAAGAAAAACTAGAAGACAATTGGCCCGAAAGCATCATCAGCGAAGAGTGTGGGGCTATGTGATAGATCCAGTGTATAGGATCGTAAAGTCACAGAATCAAGAGTCATAGAGTCCATGAGTCATGAGTCATAAAGTCATAGAGTTGCAGTGACATAGCGTCATAGAGTCGTAGTGAGATAGAGTCAGTGTATAGGATCGTAAAGTCACAGAATCAAGAGTCATAGAGTCCATGGGTCATGAGTCATAAAGTCATAGAGTTGTAGTGAGATAGAGTCACGGAGTCGTGGAGTCATCTTTGTACCATACACTTGACTCGATGTAGTTCACTCTATGCCCTGTGTGTGGGAACGCTTAATCAAGATCCGCCTAGCGTGAGGGCTCAGAGCCTGACTCAACAGGTCAAGTGGCAACTTGTCAGAGGGATTGGCAAATGCATAATATATGGATACTATACATATAAATATATATATATATATATATATTATATATATATATATGGAAATGTGCCTGGCCAAGAACTGGCCACTCGTCCTCGGCATTCCTGCCTCTCGAGTTATGAAGGGCGGAACGCCTCACATCGTCCTCATTGTACCAGCGGAAACACCAGCTGCAGAAAATGGCGTTATTGCAAGAAGCTTCACTGACTTCACAATAATAGAGCTGCGAACGAGGACAGAGTCACAGGTGACTGACTGGTCTCTGATCAGCCATGGTACATCTTAAAATCTTCCTGAAGACTTGGCTTTTTTTTTACACACACGCACATGCGCAGCTCCTGCAGCTTTCGCTGCGACGCCGCTTCATCGGCCTGACACCAAGAACTGCTTCACTGCAGAGCACTAAACATCCCACCCGACGACGACGCTGACGGCTCACTGCAACCGAAGCTGACATGGACAATCCTCAAAAACGCCGCTTCCCCATGAAGCCTGCTCCCCGGCAATGCTCTGTGATAGAGCTTTCGACAACTCCGGCTTGGTAAGCGTGCACCCGGCACGGTGTCGTTGCAAACCCGCAGCGACACAGAGCCCAACCAGCTCATCCTTGCCGTGCTTCCCCAACTCGCCGCAGAGCCAGGCTTCGCCCTGCTCGGCATAACCCGCGCGCAGCTCCTGCAGCTTTCGCTGCGACGCCGCTTCATCGGCCTGACACCAAGAACTGCTTCACTGCAGAGCACTAAACATCCCACCCGACGACGACGCTGACGGCTCACTGCAACCGAAGCTGACATGGACAATCCTCAAAAACGCCGCTTCCCCATGAAGCCTGCTCCCCGGCAATGCTCTGTGATAGAGCTTTCGACAACTCCGGCTTGGTAAGCGTGCACCCGGCACGGTGTCGTTGCAAACCCGCAGCGACACAGAGCCCAACCAGCTCCGCCCGACTCTGCTTCCCCAACTCGCCGCGGAGCCAGGCTTCGCCCTGCTCGGCATAACCCGCGCGCAGCTCCTGCAGCTTTCGCTGCGACGCAGGTTCCTCGGCCTGACAGCAAGAACTACTTCACTTCAAAGCACAATACATCCCACCTGACAACGACACTGACGCCTCACTGCAACCGAAGCTGACATGGACAATCCTCAAGAACGCCGCTTCCCCATCAAGCCTGCTCCCCGGCAATGCTCTCTGATAGAGCTTCCAACAGCTCCGCTCTGGTAAGCGTGTGCCCGGCAGACTTCTGTTGCACACCCGCAGCGACACAGAGCCCACGCAGGTCCTGCCGGTTTTGCTTGTCCAGCTCGGTGCGGAGCCAGTCTTCGCCCTGCTGGGCATAACCGGCGCGGAACTTCTGCAACCGCGAATCCATGGGATGGAAGAAGGCGTCCACGCCGGCCCTTTCGCAAGACAGCGTCGAGGCAAGCAAAACACTGTCCCAAGTATGTTCAAATACAAAAGTGTCTGCACCGACCCTTTCGCAAGACAGCGTCGAGGCGGGCAAACAACTGTCCTAAGTATGGTCAGCTGAGAAGATGAGAATAAGCTGAGAATAATCTCCACACCGGCCCTTTCGCAAGACAGCGTCAAGGCAGGCAAGGAAGCGTACTAGGTGTAGTAAGATGCTGCAATGTGTGCAAAATACTGCAACGCGTTTTCCCTTTCTTCCCCTTCTTCTGCCTTTCGAGCCAAACGAGGCAGGCAAACGTGCAAGGAGAAAGCCTTTACAGAGCAGCAAGAAACTCCGAGCCTGCAGAAGTCATCGGCCAGGCAGCCTGCGAGTCGAACGTGTGCAAGGAGAAAGCCTCTACAAAGCAGGAGGAAGCTCCGAGCCTGCAGGTCATCGACCAGGCAGCCTGCGAGTCAAACGTGTGCAAGGAGAAAGCCTCTACAAAGCAGGAAGAAGCTCCGAGCCTGCAGGTCATCGACCAGGCAGCCTGCGAGTCAAACGTGTGCAAGGAGAAAGCCTCTACAAAGCAGGAAGAAGCTCCGAGCCTGCAGGTCATCGGCCAGGCAGCGGCGCGTTGCGCCGTCGCAAGACAGCGTACGCGCCGTACAGGCGCATGAATATATGTCTATCTATCTATCTATCTATATATCTATTATCTATCTATCTATCTATCCATATATGGATAGATAGAAAGATAGATATATATATATATGTGCGTATATTATCGATATATGCATCTGCCAATCCCTCTGAAGGGTTGCCAATTGCACCTCGCAGAGATGCAAGTTCCTGCAATCGACCACGCCACTCCCTGTGTAGAGTTGCACGGCGGAAAAGATACAAGTAGTAGTTTGCACACACGTTTCAACCCTGGACCACGCCAATCCATGCAGAGGGTTACACGCAGCGCCCAAAGACCATGCAACAGTACCTGCACACCTTCCGATTAGAACATTCGAGGAAGCTAATCCCTCTCAATGAAGGATTGCGCGGGGCACCGCAAAATGTGTAACTTTAACTTGCGTTCGACCACTCGACCACGCCAATCCCTGTGAGGGGTTGCAAAATTCATTTCAATGCTCATCAAAAATTGCAACTTTACCTCGCGTTCGAACACTCCACTACGCCAATCCCTGTGAAGGGTTGCAAAATTCATTTCAATGCTCATCAAAAATTGCAACTTTACCTCGCGTTCAACCACTCGACCACGCCAATCCCTGTCAGGGGTTGCAAAATTCATCTCAATGCTCATCAAAAATTGCAACTTTACCTCGCGTTCGAACACTCCACCACGCCAATCCCTGTGAAGGGTTGCAAAATTCATTTCAATGCAAATCAAAAAATGCAACTTTACTTCGCGTTCGAACACCCGACCACGCCAATCCTTGTGAAGGGTTGCAAAATTCATTTCAATGCAAATCAAAAAATGCAACTTTACCTCGCGTTCGAACACCCGACCACGCCAATCCCTGGGAAGGGTTGCAAAATGCAAATCCCTGTGAAGGGTTGCAAAAAAAATTGAACTGCACCCAAACCCTGTGAAGGGTTGCGCGGCGCCCGCAAGAAGTGTAACTTTACCTCGCGATTGAACGCCCGAGGAGGCGAATCCCTGTGAAGGGTTGCGCGGCGCCCGCAAGAAGTGTAACTTTACCTCGCGTTTGAACGCCCGAGGCAGCGAATCCCTGGGAAGGGTTGCGCGGTGCGCCTAAAATGTGTCACTTTACCTAGCGTTTGAACGCCCGAGAGTTCCAATCCCTGTGAAGGGTTGCGCCGGGCGCCTAAAAAGTGTAACTTTACCTCGCGTTTGAACGCCCGAGGAGGCGAATCCCTGTGAAGGGTTGCGCCGGGCGCCTAAAATGTGTAACTTTACCTCGCGTTTGAACGCCCGCGGTGCGCCTAAAATGTGTCACTTTACCTAGCGTTTGAACGCCCGAGGCAGCGAATCCCTGGGAAGGGTTGCGCGGTGCGCCTAAAATGTGTCACTTTACCTAGCGTTTGAACGCCCGAGGCAGCGA